TAATATATATATATATAATTTTAAAAAATCCAGCCTCAGGGATTTGAAAAATACACCAGGTACTTGGTGAGTGTGTCCACAATCCCAACAGGATGGAGAAATGAAGGGACTGTACATAATCACACCCCACTGGTAGATGCTTTCTCCCTCTCTCTCCTTCTGGCTGTCTCTCTTTGGTGAGCACACATGCCCTCTGGCAATTAAAACAAAACAAAAACATTTAATTAACCTTCATGCTTCTCAGGTTATAAGACTGGGCCTGAAATACAGAACAAAGGAATATGTGGAGGAGATGGTTTTCAGACAACGATTGGCAATAAGCAGAGCTAGCTCTGGCTGGAGGCTAAAGAATGAATTAGGTGACCTAGAAAAGGCTCCTAAGAAGTCAGCTCTCACCTTCCTGCAGAAGCCCAGGTCTGCCTCTGTGTTTACTCCCACATGAGCCACGGGCCAACTGCCAGTCACCCTTGCTTATTCCAGGACAGGGGTTGTTAATTTTTAGCCTCACATTTAAAGGAGTACACTGAAGCTATTGGAAGAAACCTTCATCAACTCCCAGCATCACATGAGGACTGAGGTTTTAGGCACAGAATAGCAATAAACAGTATTCTTGGGCCCTGTTGGATTCCTAGAAGCCTACCACTCCTGTGGACAGTGGGCCTTCCATGTCCATCAGATTGGCTATTCAGGGAGCACTCAAAGTGTTTTGCTGAGAAAGCTCTTACTCATCATTCCATCTCTCTTCCTCTCTTAAGTATATCAATTTTCACTGCCTTCCAAAAAAAAAGCAATTTCAAGAAACTTGCCTTGCAGTGAATGCGGATGCAGTCGTAATAGTATCGCCACTCATCTGGAGAAAATGTGACAGTGACCGTGAGGGACAAGCCAGGGACAAGGCGGTGATCCTGGAAGACAAGGGGGCTCCTGTTGAGACAAGCTCAGGGGGCACCACAGGTGATAAGACATGACACCTCATCCTGGGCAAGTCCAAGACCAATAGAAGAACCCCATAGGGATAGCAGGCATCCGAGTAAGGCTCACCTTCTTCACATAATCAACCTGAAAGTACTTGGTTTGTGGAGGTAGAATATGAACATGTGTGTCTTCATTGGAAATGTTGGCCAGATGCTGGAAGAGAAGCAGCAGCATTTAGAATAAGGACATTGTTTTATTTACATATTTATGTGCACATTCATCTCCTTATTTATTTATACCTCATCTCATTCCTAAAGGGCTTTGAGGTGATATCATGTATTTTTAAAAAATAATTATTTTTAAATTTAATTTTATTTATTCATTCATTTATTTCAGTTTGGCCATGGAGAGAGAGACAGAGAAAGTGAGAAAGCAAGCCACCAAGTCTGGGACTCGAATCATGGTCGGCCATGTGGGAGTGTCCAGCGCCCTAACCACCATGCCACCTGCTGGTCCCAATAGCATGTATTTTTTAAAACTGTTTATATAATAGGAAATATATCATAACCATGCACCACCATGCCACCTGCTGGTCCCAATATCATGTATTTTTTAAAACTTTTTATATAATAGGAAATATATCATAACCATATAAAGAATAATAAAATAAAGACAATAAGCAGCATTTTTTTTCTAGATAGTGTGTGTGTTTTGTCAGAGACAGAAATCAGCAATCCCTACTCTGGGAGTGTTTAGTGAGCACTGAGGTATGCTAATCCAGCATCCACACTCTAGAAGTGGTTACTGGAGTACTTCAACCATGGTCACCTAGACCAACATAGGAAGGTCTTCTGTACTAGCAGGAGGGATGCTCAGATTACATGGACTAACTAAAAACACCATCCAGGCACTTCTACTCTTTTTTTTTTCTTTTCTTTTTTTGGAGAGGTTTTTGCTATAGGCTATGTGCGCTCTCCTGAAAGACAGAGAGAGAAAGAGAGACAGAAAGTGAGAAATCACCCCCCCCCCCGGCACGCTGCAATCCCTTCTCCTCCATTTTCTTCTCAGGATCTTGGGCACGCACGCACACACACTCAGCGTGAGTTTAAGCCACTGGGTCCAGGGCTCGAACCACAGTTGGCTATATGGGAGTCTAGCGACATAGCTATTATGCTAACTACTGGTCCCTGGGCACTTCCACTCTTGAACAAACAGGTATGACAGTATTGTGAGTTCAGAAGCCAGTATCCTTAGAGTGACAGTCAGAGGCTTAGGATTCCCCAGGGTCCCTTTCAGGACTTCACAAAAACATTCTGTCAGCCGTTTTGCTGCATCTGCTGCCGGCAAAGCTCCTCTCCCAGAACCTAGTTAGGACTTCTTACCAATTACAGGTAGAATGACTTTTTTTTGCCTGCTGGCAAGTAAGAGTTCACACACGTGGTAGAATTTCCCTAGGCCTGTTTTCTTCACAGGCCACCTGGTAGAAAAGCTGCTAGGGAGGGGACCTGTGGCTCCTGCCTCCCATCATGGTCAGACTATAATATCTACCTGACAATCAATAATAACTTCAGTGCTGGGGACCAGCGTAATGGCTTTGTCGCTGGACTCCCACGTAGTTGACCGCGGTTCGCCTCCCGGACCCGGTGGCTTAAAACTCACGCCGGGCGTGTGTGCGTGCATGCCCAAGATCCCGAGAAGAGAATGGAGGAGAAGGGACTGCGGCGTGGCCATCCCCCCTGGGGAGGGGGGTGATTTCTCGCTTTCTATCTCTTTGTCTCTCTCTGTCTTTCTGGCGAGCGCACGTGGCCTATAGCAAAAACCTCTCCAAAAAAAGAAAAAAAATAACTTCACTGCTTAGGGTAGTTTGCAATAAGTGATATCATATGTGGAAGACTAGAGAGGCCTCTCCTCAAAGCTGCTGGGAGGCTCAGTTATTCCAGTATTCCCAAATGGCCCTATGGAAAGTAGGAACTGGAATTCCTGAGACTGGACATCCAGCTAGGCATTATGGGGAGATTCTGTCTTAAAACAAACAAACAAACAAACAAAAAACAGGCATGGAAGTGGCTGCGACTGCAGTCAACTGGGAGGCTGAGGCAGGAGGATTGCAATAAAAAGACACTGTCTTCCAAAAAGGAAGGCTGGTCCCATAGCCTAGTAGTTAAGGGACTCAGATCCCACATGGTCAACTGTGTGGTTCGAATCACATCCCAGTTTGCTTGGAAAACATGCCAGGCACATATACACGCATGCCCCAAATCCCGACAGGATGGAGAAATGGGAAAAAAGCGATTGTGCCATGAGCACACTCCACTGGGGAACACTTTCTTTTTCCCTCTGTCCCTGGCAAGCACATGTACACTCTGGCTTATAAACAACAACAGGCCAACAGGCGGTGTGCTGGTGAAGGTGCTGAACATACACCCCTGGCTTATAAACAACAACAACAACAAAACAAAGGAAAAAATAAAAAATATAACAAAACACAAGTAAACCTAATGTTGCCTAAAATTCTGTCCTTTGTTCCAATTTGGGGGTCAGTAGGCATCCCAGTTCCTCTAAGATCTCTGTTCTCCTAGAAACTGACCTTCTCCCAGCTCTATGGGCCCTAATTCCTTGGTGCTGCCTCCATAGGGCTCCCTATTGTCTCTCATGGGAAATTCAGTCCCTTCTACAGTTTCTCAGATCAACTCAGCACCACCCCCACATACAGAAGACAGAAACCACCAAACATACATTAAGTGGTCATGATTTAACAGACATTACTCAGGATTTACAGGGATTTATTTCCCAGACAGGGCCCATAGCTCTCTCTACTCCCACTCCCAGAGATCTCTGTTTCTCATGAGCTCCTTCTGGGTCCTCCTGGAAAGTGTGTTCTTCCTCTAGAGGGCAGGGCAGAACCTGCTCTCCAGTGAAGTCTTGGCTTGGAGTGGGTGTGGCCAACCTTCAATCCTAAGCACTTGTCATAGCATTTTTCCAAATATAACACTTTAACCTCCAACTTGGGGTGTCTGTGTGTGTGTGTGTGTCTGTGTGGTTATAGTGATAGGTCCTGCTGTGTTGCCCATTCTGGTCTCGAACTGAGGATTCTCTTTCCTCAGGCTCCAAGTAGCAAGTACCTCAGCCTTACAGGCTTGCACCACCACCCAGCTGAAGTTGAGTCTTTTAATATCTCTCCTCAGTGGCACAGAAAAAGGTTAATATAATACTTAGTTTCAGGGATCTGGGGACAAAATTCAAGTAGCCCTACAAGCTCTTTGGTTTTTTTCTTAAAATGCACGTTGACCATGTATTCTACAATAAAATTATGCTCCATACAGCATTTCCCCTAAATGTGAGAGTGAAACTGATGCTGTAGAAAATTGTACTGTTTATGCCGTGGCTTCCCACACACTGAGGAGAAGCCACTGGGATTCATGGTCCTAATTTTGAGAAGCAAGATCTTGGGTGGAGAAGGGGATCTCTAAAGGCTGTACTAGGGAACTGAAAACTAATATTATTATTTCAGAAGGAACTGTTCACTTATTTAAGACAAAACCTTATAGGCTAACAATTTTTGTTTTGAGCTGACAATAGCAACATTAGCTGTCCCATGAGAAAATTGATAGTTTATTTACTTAATAAATATAATTTCCTAGATAAGTCTTTCTACAAAGAGGAATAAAATTTTAAGATGTATTTTTTTTTTTGAGAGGTTTTTGTTATAGGGCGCATGTGCTCACCAGACAGACAGAGAGAGACATAGAGACAGAAAGTAAGAAATCACCCCCCAGGGGGGATGGCCACGCCTCAATCCCTTCTCCTCCATTCTCTTCTCGGGATCTGGGGCATGCACGCACACGCACCCGGCGTGAGTTTAAGACACCGGGTCCAGGACTCGAACCACGGTCAACTACGTGGGAGTCCAATGACATAGCCATTACGCTAACTGCTGATCCCAAGTTGTATTGGTTTTGAGAAAACTGGGGGCCATCATTTCAAATTTTAAAGTAAATTGAAGCACTATTTCAATATGAATGCAAATAAAATATTTCAAATCTTTTAACCCAATGTGAATTGATCTCCAATGTTAATGAACAATTTATTGTGGTTTTAAACACACATTCAATCATTCCATTCTTGGGCAATTTACATACTTTCCTGTACAAAATCAAGATAAAAGCAGTTACTGGATTTTTCCCCCTTGTTTGGCAAGAATCTCAAGGTAATTGCTTTAGACTTCCGCTGAACTTCACTGGTGGAAACAGGACCGACTTCCCTAAGAACTCCCCGAATGCTATTAAGATAAAATCATTTTGTACTTTTATCTATTTCCGTTTGTTTTAATGTCTGATAGAAGAAATATAACTACTTAGACTTTACACTGGATTTACTTGGAATCAGTGAGCCCCTGCCAAGTCAATCTCTTCCAATACAGTGAGTTCAGTTATTGTTTACCGATGTTTACCGAGTGCCTCCTGCGTGTTAGGCACTGCACTACTTCCTGGGGAAGTAGCAACACAAAAGACAAACCTGCTTCTGTTCCCGAGCAGAATGAGGTTTCGTATCTTTTAAGGTTTAGTATCTTTTGCAATAATTAAGTCATACTCCCTTGTTTCCCAGGCATTCTCAATAGGGGGTAATATGATCTACAAGGAGTAAAAGTTGGTTCCTGATAAGGCAAAACAGTCATAGATGCTACAATGGCTTCTGACCTTCCAAAACTCGACCCTACCTGACAGTATCTCACTCTTGAGTTTTTCTGATTAATGACACCCTGAGGATGTTAATGAAAGAAGAGGCTGAGAACCACATTTATCCTCTAAAATACCAGCAAGTTGATCTTCCTCAAGGACATATTATCCCTGTTTAAAAACACTTTAACTTCTTGCTGCTATCTGAAGTACATGTTCTTTATGTTAATGTTTTCATCCCAACTCACATTTCCCATTATTACCCTCTAAAAGCCCTGTAATCCAAGTAAACCAGCTTGCACGTTGGCCTCCGAATATGCCACATGCTCACTCACCCTGGACTTCTTGCCACTTGCCATTTTGCTTTTGTGCTATCTGAAATGGCTTCTCTGCGAGTCTTTTTACATGGTTCTGTGTGGGTGAGCTGCTGCCTTCCCTCTACAGAGCATGTTCCTCTGCTTCTTCATGTCCCTTGACTTATCTTGTGTCATGTTCAATTTGTGTTTTTAGTTTTTGCTAGGGTACATGTGCTCACTG